CTTGAGCCCAGGAGTTGGAGGTTGCTGTGAGCTGTAATGCCACGGCACTCTGCCCAGGGGGACAGCTTGAGGCTCTGTCTCAAAAAAAAAAAATACATAAAACTTCTCTAGCTATTTTTAAGGTCTTATTTCTATCTGTAGAATAGTAGAATGATGAAAGGTATATTCAGGAAATATGAACTGCACTTCATCTCTACTCTTATAAAAGTTATTTAACTTCAGTTTTCCCAAAAATATAACAAGAAGGTTGGACTACAAAAATTTCTAATATCTGGTTAAGCTCTAAAATTCTAGCACAAATCATTTATTGCTATTGGAAAAATGTAAATAATTTTCATTTGTTGAGACTGAGATAACTTACATAGGAGATGAAAGATTTTTTTCTAAGGGAGAAGAATTTTAAACCTCTTTCTAACTTAAAAACAAAAGGCACTACCAGATTTCCTCTTTATCCTTATTCAGATGTACCAAGGAACCACATCTAAAAGCTGCGGTGGGAGAAATTATTCGCCCACATTTTACCCATCTTTTATCATTAACTCTAGCTGATATGTACACACGGTAGGTGTTGGGTCTATGAAAATTAGATCTACTTACAAAGGTGGTCAGTGTAGAGATGTGGTCAGCTATAGAGTTCTACTATATATGGAAAGATCTATGTAGGTTAAAGGCAAATGCTATGTTATTTTACATGAAGGATTTGAATATCTGCAGATTTAATATCCACAGGAGTCCCAGAACCAATCTCCTACAGATACCCAGGGATGACTGTATTTCACTACAGCATTAGGCAAATATTAGAGAATTTGAATTACTGTAGATCCAACCATTCCTTCATGCCTTAAATATCTTAGTTTACAAGATATCTGCTGTAATAAGTAAACTTTAAAAGCTTCTAAAAGAGCTGACTTCATATCCTATCATGTTTATTTTTATAAGATGGTGCTTCTTGTAATCTGTGAACACTATTTAATAGAAAGAACAAAGCCTTCAATATCATAAGATCAGGGACAAACCCTAGGTTTTCCATTCAACAGATAAGATACTTAATCTTTATTTATTCTTCCTTTGGAAAATGGGAATGATACTCCCTCTATCAAGGAGATTTCTAAACTTTCAGCAATTTAACCATGGTGTAGCCAGTTATAGGTTGTATGAGTATGGATAAATTATACAACCAAACTATGCCTTAGGTTATTTACATGTAAACCGGAGATAACAGCACTGTCTACCTCACAGCATTATTGTAAGCATTAAATGAGCTATTACTTGTAAAGTATTTAGAATAGTGCTAGCTATTATTTATTATAAATTAAAGTGTTTCAGAGAGTCAAAAGTGAAATTCTTACTATTGGCCATTATTGCTAGTTTTTATGGCTTATTACCTTGAATTTCATGGTAATCCAAGCTGATTTTCTTTAAATAAGATACTGCAGTTAAGTCAAATGTTCTCATTGTAGCCTCTGTTCCTAACTGAGTAACATTAAATACCAGAATTGTATCTTCTTCTTTCTGTTGTTTAGTAAATTCCAAAATCACCTAAAATAATTAGCACAGCCAGTGAAAAGTTGATAAGAAGTCTGAATCATACTTAAAAATAAGACAAACAAAATCTTTTTCCACACATAACACTATAAAAATTTTGTTCATACTCCTCTACTACCATAAAGTTTAATATAATCAGAAATTATCATCTTAAATTCTACTGAGGATACAAACACATCTATAAAAAACATGATGAAGGGTGGTGCCCATAGCTCAGTGGGTGGGGTACCATGTAAAATAGGAATGTATGGATTCTTCCTTAAAATGATTTTTCCAAAAACAAAAGTCATGTTTAGTGATTTAAAAAAAAAATCTCCATTAGAGCAAAAAGACAAGAATGTTCACTATCATAGTACTATGTAAGGTAATTCTAGAAATGATAGCAAATATAGTCAACCAATAAAAAATAAAACATATACATAGCAATTTTTAAAAAATACAAGTCCTTTTATACCCCAATCAAGAGGTAGAGGCCTTTATTCCCACTCTTTGAATTTGGCAGGCTTATGAATACTTCAATGAATGGAGTAGAAATGAATGATACTATAATGACTCCTGATGTCGAAAAAGGCCATGAAACTCTCACCTAAAATGCTCACTCTGAAGCTGCAGTGTAAAACGTTCAACTACTGTGAGACTGTCATGCTGGGAGGCTATGAGTAGGTGTTTGGACAACAGTGCCAGCCGAGCTCCCAGCCAACAACCAGTATTGACTGGCAGTCCCATGAATGAGCCTCCTGGACTCCAGCTCAAGGCTTCAGAGAAAAGCCAGTTTATTTCTCTGGCAACCCCAGAGATTTGACTGCAACCAAATGATAGACTATATACAAAATTACCCAAGTGGGTCATTCCAGAATTCCTAAACCACAAACTGTGAGCAAAATGAAACAATTGTTTTAAGCTACCAAGTTTTAGGGAAACTTGATAGTGAGCAACAGATTGATATAACAGATTGATATAAATACTGAGAAAAAGACAAAAATTACTATTATTAGCAGATCATGTAATTATATAGTTAACAATAACCAATCAACTGAAATACAGTAAAGGGCAATGAGATGGTACAGCAAGGTATTAAGTATAAAACTGACATAGTATTAAAAAGGTTTCATATAAATAAATGACTAAAATGAAAACAATGAAATAACAAATATATAAAATCATTTATGTAACAGAGAATTTCCGAAACACACGCTAAAACTGGGATAGAAAGAAAATATACAATAAATTTCACTGTAGAAACATCTGAAAGTACAAAACAGCAAAAAAAAAAATCACACTGAGAGAAATATGTCAAATAGCACTTTAGTTTTTTTGATGGTTCTTATTGTTTTTCATTTTGTTCATTCATTCAATATTTAATAAAATATTTACTGTACATCATCTACCATGTAACAGGCTATGCCAGCAATTAAGGACACAAATGGTCCCTGCCATGGTTTGAATGCCCCCTCCACCACTCATGTTAAAACTTAATCATCAAGGGCGGTGCCTGTGCCTCAAGGAGTAGGGCGCTGGCCCCATATAAGGGGGGTGGCAAGTTCACGCCAGGCCCTGGCCAAAACTGCAAAAAAAAAGAAAAAACCTTAATCATCAATGTCACAGTGCTGGTAGGTGTGGCCTAATAGAAGGTGTTTAGGTCATGAGGGCTCGACCCCCTTCAATGGATTAATTACGTTAGTGCAAGACTAGATTCATAATCACAAGAGCTAGTTGCTATAAAGTGAGCCTGGCCCCTTGTGCTTTTCTTTTTCAAGCTGGCTTGCTCTTCCACCTTTCCTCAATGGAATGAAGACCCTCACCAGACAGACGCACCACGCCCCTGGACTTCCTTGCCTCTAGAACTGTAAGACATAAATTTCTTTTCTTTATAAATTATTCAGGTATTCTATTATAGCAATAGAAAACAGACCAAGACAGTCCTTGTCCTCAGGAAGCTTACATTCTAGGGAATGCTGGGGAAAGTGAAGGGTGCTGCGCTGTGCTGGGTGGCTGTACCTTTCCAACAAGATGACATTTGAATAATACCTAAAAGAACTAAAGCACTACGCTGTGCAGGAAATGAGCGTTTCAGGCAAAGGAAACAGCAAGCACAAAGAATGCACTTTGGTATATATAAGAAGGACAAAGACAACTGTATGCTCCACGAGGCATGTTGTTGTTTTCTAGTATCTAAAACAATGTCTGGTCTATGACGGCACATGATAAATACTTATTGGAAGAATAAATGAAATAAGGCAGGAATAGAGTAAGCAGAGTGGAAATAAATGAAGGGAAAGCCAGTCTCAAGAGATGACACATGTTAAGGCCATGGGAAGGACTTAGTCCTTTACTCTGAGAGACTTAGTCCAATGGAAGACTTTGAGTAGTGACATGAGCTGACTTTCACTTCAAAAAGATCACTTCGGGAGGTGGTATCTGTGTCTCAATGAGTAGGGCGCCAGCCCCACATACTGAGGGTGGTGGTTTCGAAACCAGCCCCAGCCAAACTGCAACAAAAAAACAGCCGGGCATCGTGGAGGGCACCTGTAGTCCCAGCTACTAGGGAGGCTGAGGCAAGAGAATCACCTAAGCCCAAGAGCTGGAGGTTGCTGTGAGCTGTGACACCATAGCACTCTACCAAGGGCGACAAAGTGAAACTCTGTCTCTAAAAAAAAAAAGATCACTTTGGCAACTGTTAGGAGAGTACCTGGTGGAAGCAGAGACAGTTAAGAAACTACTAAAATTATCCAGGGAAGAGATGATGGTAACTTGAACAATACTGTAGCAGTAGAAGGAAAGAGCAAACAGCTGATACGTTTTGAAGTTAGGGTGAAGGGATTTGTTCATATTTTGGATGAGAGTATGAGAGAAAGAAGTCAAAGAAGGCTAAAAGCAAAGAACATGCTTTCTCTAAACAAGTATCACTACTACTACTGTTTGTATACTAATTAAAATTTCATATTTCTGACATTAGATTTCAGGACATCCTCTCACTCGGCAATACGAAATAGTCAATAATAACCATCTCCACGTCACATCTTTTAATATCAAAGCAATATAACATTTATTATAGAAAATGTAAAATATATGGAAAAGCAAACAGGCAAATATGAAAAACAGTAAAACCACCAGCTAGAGATAAATACTGTCATAACTGATCAAAGAAAATATATATTATATGAATATATTCCTTTAAATGGCACCATAACATCTTTGGTATTATCTCTTTTTTCCAAAATAATGATAGACATATTGTGAGCATCATTCCATGTTTCCTTTTACTATATGACTTAAAGGCTGCAAAGAACATGCTGGAAATTTAAGTTGTTTATAGTTTTCCAAATTATAAACATAAAATAGCCAATATTAACTTAAAAGTGAAATGTTAAAAAAAATTAAACATGTGATAAAAATTTTCTACAGAAAAGGAAACCTTAAGAGTTTCAAGCTCTTCCAGAATAAAGTAAACACTCATATACCATGAATCATTATATCAATTTTGAAAAACTTTTTTTCCAAAAATGTGTGCCTTGAGTGCGTGCATATATACGTGTCTGTGTGTATGCACAGGTGTGCTGGGCAGTAGGCAAGACAGAACACCACTTTTTAAAGACACTTAACTTTTAGATCTAGCTTAAGATAGTTTACAAGACAGTGACAACACAAACATTTATTTATGGATAAAAAGATACACATACCTCCTTAATTTCAAACTTGAGTAGAAGATCAATGAGCTCCTCATTTGGGGGCTCTGAAGCTTTTTTCAGTTCTGATCCTCTAATACTTTTACTAGTCTGTGACTCTCCATCTTCAGCATCAAAATACTCATCATCAGATTCTAAAAGAAACAAACATTCATTTGATGTGAATTGAAACTGTATAAAACACTCAAATCTAAATCTCCCAAAAGTAAATTTCATTTATTGGATATAGTCTTCATATTCAGCATCAAAAAAGTTTTAGTTTTTAAAGTTCCACAAAGGCTGGCATGTGATAGTTCCGTTTAAAATCAAATGGCAAATCCTTCCTTCAATAGTTCCATTTTTCACTTAAGCTTATGCATTCAATGTACAACAAAATATCGACCGGGCATCAATTACCATGCATCAAACAGTGAAGGCCACTGAAGACACCAGAGTGACCAGGAATACAAGGTCATGTCGTCATGAATTTTATACTCTCATTCAAAATTTAAAAGAGATAAATTAGGACAGAGCTAGAGAAAAGGATCATGAAGAGACTGGGACAAAAGAGAAGCATTGTCAACCACAAAAACCTCTTCAATTTACCCAATGAAGAAGCTTGGGTTTAAAGAAGATAAATGACTCAAATCACACTACTGGTTGGCAGAACAGCAAGAACTATAACAGAACCAGTAAATTACTATAGCAATTTCAAAATTCCTTTATTTTTTGAAAACTTTATGGAATAAGTTATAGGCTTGCTTTAATAGAGAAAGAATATTTTACTTTCCTTACCTGATTCCACTCCATCTAGTAACAGTGAAGTACTGAGTAGACCTTTTGTCCCACTTGTTATAACAGTTGAGGGCACCTAGCAACCAATACAAAAAGTTTTCCTAGAAATACTCCTTCAGCAGAATTAAATGTACATAAATCAGAGAAAGACTAAAAAGTAATACAAGATGAAAATGGAAAGAGACACATAATACATAAGTCTTTCAACAAAACACACTATGCCATCAACAAACCACTGGCTGGATTTACAAATTATTAAGACTACCACCTCTATGTACAAGGACACAACCATGTACAAGGGTTGAAGGTTAGTCTATTTATCATCATCTATAATTTACATGCTGTCATTTGGATGTTACTGAACATCTTTACTACAGGTCCCTAGAAAACAGTGTCAGGGCTCTATCAAATTTCATTTCAAAGGAAGTGGAAATCCAACATTTCTTTTACGTGGTCAAAATCAATTCCAATTAAAGTGACCTAGAACTTTTAGGCCAAATACATGAGGAAATTTTACACCAACTACTTTATCTGCAACATTTGAAATAAAATTTCTACTTCTATTAAAACATATTTTATAAATTTGGAAGATATTTTCCTTTCATTTCTGTATTTTTGGTCCTTTCAGTTAGAAACTTTGCTCTAAAACTGACTTTCCAGCACTACTCTAAAACAGTAGTAAAAATGAGAGACTTAGCATTTTTATTATATCCATTTACCTGTCTCTCTGGAGACTGCGCAGGTGATTTCTGTGGCAAAGGTATACTATTAATCAAACATAGCACATCTTTCATCTTCTGATCAGAAATTCTCACATGCATCAAAGGAAGTCCTCCAAATACTTTAAATCTAAAAATACAATTAAGCTGTAAGGTTTTAAGGTCAGCTTCTCTATACTACATTGGGGGGGGGGGGATGGGAGAAAAGACAATACTGTACAATCAAAGCTCCCTTAGACAGGTTTTAATCTAATCACACCACTGCGTCACTTAGTCACTGTCAAGAAACAGGAGGTTCTATGCAAGCCACACTTCCAGATTATTTATTTATTTATTTATTTTGAGACAGAATCTCACAATGTCGCCTTCGGGAGAGTGTCGTGGCGTCACAGCTCACAGCAACCTCCAGCTCTTGGGCTTAAGCGATTCTCTTACCTCAGCCTCCCAAGTAGCTGGGACAACAAGTACCTGCCACAACACCTGGCTATTTTTTGTTGCAGTTGGTTTAGCTGGCCCAGGCTGGGTTGGAACCGTTCAGCCTCGGTGTATGTTTTTACCATTGTGCTACAGGTGCCGAGCCAAATTTCCAGATAATTTAAACACATCCTTCTTAAGCAGTCAAATCTTTTTAAGTTAACTAATTTTTATGAAAATCTTAACAAATCTAATTTTCTTTTTTAAAACAAAAAATACCATATGTACTTTAGTTCCCTGCATCAAAGTCTGTTCATAACATCAAAGAGTATCTACCCCATCATTCTCTATGGTCTTGTGCTGTTTTCTTTCTTTTTATATAGAGCACTTGGGAGCACCTGACATGTCATATACAAAGGATGCCAAAAAAAAAGAAACATATACACAGTTTAGGAAAGAAAAAATCTATATTAAAATTGTAATATTCAAGTTATGTTTGACTTCTCTAATTTTATAAGAGGTGCTCAGACATGACCCATATTCATCTTGTTATGGGTATAATTGAGTATTACAGTATAGCGTTTTCCTTTCTTACATCGTGTATATATTTTTGGCACCCTCTGTATACACTAGCTTATTTTACGTCTCCTTGATTAAAATGTAAGCCCCACCAGGACATCTGTTGAACTGACTGCTGAATCACCTTCATCCATCCCTCTGTCAGTCGCTCCCTTTCTGACAACTGCTTCTACTCTGCTTCCCTGCTCAGTGTCAACGCCTCAGGTCTGTCTGTCTCAACAGTTTTGTGGTTATCTATCTGCTCTTCATAAAGTTCTTTTAGGTTGTTTATCTTGGCTTCCTGACTCAACAGTGAACAGCTCAAGTTGACAGATGCCCAACTGCTAGATGCACTGCGAGGAAATAGTAAAGCAGTATCTAAGGAAAAAATTATAGTACTAAATGCCAAAACTGGAAAAAAGTAAAGATCTCAAATAAATGACCTCAACTTTCACCTTAAGAAACCAGGAGTGAAAAGCCAATGAAACCCAAAGTAGGCAGAAGAAAGCAATAATAAGAATCAAAGTGGAAATCAGCAAAGTAAAAACCTAACAATATAGAAAATAATTAAAACTAAGAGTTGGATCTTTCAGAAAAAGATCAACAAAATTAATAAGCCTCAAGTCAGAGTGATCAAGACAAAGAGAGAAAAAGCACAAATTACTAATATTAAGTGTGAAAGAGATAACATCGATACAGAGCCTTCATACACAGGTAATTTATACCAATAAATTTAAAACCTCAGACAGACCAATTCCTTGAGTCACACAAACAATAACACAAAATCTCATTTAAAACACTTCATGCCTGTATTCCCAGCATTTTAGAAGGCCAAGACAGGAGGATCGCGTGAGGCCAGGAGCTCGAAACCAGCCTGGGCAACCTAGCAAGAACCCATCTCCAAAAAAAAAATATTTTTAATTTAGTTGGGCATAGTGGTACATGCCTGTAGTCCTAGCTAATAGAAACTCTGTGGTGGGAAGGTCACTTGAGCCCTGGAGTTCACCGTAATCCAGCCTGGGCAAAAGAGTAAGACCTTGTCTCTTTAAAAAATAAAAAATAAAAATAAATAAATAAACATTGGAAACACATAAAAGATCACTCAAAAGAATGAATAACCTAAATAGCCCCCTATCTATTAAAGAAATTGGAGATGTAGTTTAAAACTTTTGCAAAAACTAAATTCCAGGCCCTGACAGCTTACTGATAAACTCTACCTAACACTTAAGGGAGAAATAATTCCAAATCTACACAACATGTTTCAGAAAACTCATTGCATAAAGCCAATATTATTACTCTGTTACCAAAACAAGAAAAGCACAGACCAGTATTTCTCTTACAATATTTCTCTTGCAAGGCTGACTTAATGTCCACATGGTAAAGGATATCATGAACAAAGGATACATATACAACATAAATGAATCTCAATTATGCTGAATATCATACAAAAAAATTGAAATGCTTTGATTCCATTTATATAAAATTTTAGAAAATTCTAACAAATCTATAATCTCATAAAGCAGACCAATGTTGTGCAAGGAAGGAATATAAATATAATAAGAAATTTTTGTAGGTGATGGATGTGTTCATTATCATTATTCTGATGATACAGAGATAAACAGAATAGGTCAAAACTTATCAAATATGGCTTATGGAATGTCAATTCTACTTCAATAAAGCTGTTTTAAAAACAGGTAGCTGTTTATGCTACCTACTTAAATTCAAAATTCAGTTTCTATGTTTTATTTTCTCAGGTTTTTTTAAGATTCTACATAATTTCGTGATCAAAAGAATTTCTAATTTTTTAGAAGATTATTTCATTAATAGTTAACTTTCAATTGAATACATTCAGAAAACACTGGATTACCAACTTTTACAGGATGTAAAAGTTCAAATACTTCTGAAATAAGACAGGTGATTTATAATTCAAATATGTATTTTATTAAAAATTTCTACTACAAAATAGAATAGCAATTCTTTTTTTGTCTCCTATAGAAATCTATCTTTCCTTCCTTAAAATCCAGTAACTAATGCAGATGTATTTCACCTTGTTAATTTTCTAATACAAAAGAAACTCATACATTACCTGGCCATTCTAATGTCTTTTTCCACCATTGCCTTGGCCAACTCAACATGAATATCCATAGGATGCAATACATGCATAGTTGACGGACGCTGAAATCGACACTTTTTCCAGTTTTCCTCTTTAAAAAATAATTGAACATATTAAATGACTATTTTTTAAATTATCAGGTATTCTGTGGAAAACCACTCTGTTAAAACAGACTCAATGATTATCAACTTTTACCTCTTTCAGCATACAAGTTAAATAACCTGGTTTTATAATATCAATAGGCAAGAATCAAAGACAGTGACATAAAATTAATTCTAAATATTTGCATAATGCTCATATAAAATCTTGCATGTCAAGTAAACAAGACAAAGTACAAGGAATTTATGACCTTGATTCCAGAATTAGTGATCAAGGTGGATGGTTACAGTGAAAAGTAGGGGGGAACAAGGGAAAGAGTGGGGAAAAGAGGTTTATGAGGCTCCTAAGTGCAATATTTACATTAGCTTAGCACACTTCTTCCAATTCCAAAAGAAAAATGAGTTCTATCAAGCAAGGTTTTATGACAAATAAAAGTACAATAATCACTTCTCTTCCAATAAGAATGCCTCAAAGACAAATGTTCCCGTGTTAATGAAGTCCTATGCAGATCTCTACTGACGGCAAGGATGAACACCTTCTACCATTTACAATTCAAACGATTATACTGAAGTATGTATGAAAGAAAAAGCAATTTTAATGGCCTGTATAAGTACTTTCCTTCAAGGAATTAATAGAGTCCTAGGATATAAAAATTAAATAGAGCATTATATATTTAAATTTTTATAAATCTCATCACTCTTACTAGAGAATAAACTCAGCATACAGAGATTATGTCTGTCTTTTCCTCCAGTGACCTTCCCCAAAGTGATATAATCGAGGATAATTAATAAATACTTATTGCTTCTAGAAACTAAAGAAGTCTAAATAACCACAATCTTAGATTAAGCAAAATAAAACCAAACCTTTTGGGAAATAATTTAATTAATTACCTTTAAGGTTTTAAGACTATCTACTACATGGTGACAATGATTTACACTGACAGACTCCTATTTGTTTCCTTAAGTGACCAATAGGGTATGTGTGCAAAATGGCTGTCCTGTAAGGGCTGATATACACGTATGTACGCATGTATTACCAAAGCTACTCAAAACTAATTTCAAGGCTCTAAAAGTTGGATAACGGTTTACCTGCTCTTGCAAAGAGTAGTTGCACACTTTTTATATCAACATCAAACTTGTCGTATGCCTTATCCATTATTTCTTCCAGAGATGAATTAGTAGTCTTCTGTAAACCTTGATCTTTACTATTGAGCTAAAACAGAGGAAAAATTTCATTTTTTTACAAAACACAAATGTACAAACATCAACATACTTTAGTTATGTGTCTTAAATCTAACTTAAAATGAAATTATAGTCCCTAATGAATTCACATTTGTTTAATATCTTCATAATTATTTAAAAATACCTTATTAGAAATATAGTATCTCACCATACCTCTCCATTACAGTTGAGAAATAAGTGCTCAGTACATTTTCATTAATTAGGAGATTGTTTACATAGTTTCCTGTCTCAAACATGCCACTCCTCCCTCACCAGACTCTCAAGAGTAATGGCTCAGTTATGGCTCAGCAATACTACAGCCCACCCTACACCCTTCACACAAAATAGCAGGGTTTTGTTCCATCTCTCTACTATACCACAAGCATAATTATGACATTAGAATTCAGCTCCAATCTCTAATTCATTTCCCCCCTTTCCAGTAGCAGCAAAAATCAATTCAGGACTGTATGTGTACAAGGGGTTTTCAAAAAGTTCATGGAAGATGTGTATTATGAAAAACTATGAGTGAATTTCAAAATTATTTTATATTAAATAAACTCATTCTAACTTGTTATAACATGCCTGAACAGGATCTAGTTTGATGCAATAAGAGTAAGACATGAATTTGTAAAGACCCCTTATCAGAGCAACATCAATCTGCTAAAACTGAAGCAAGAACAAACCTTGAAATTATGGTGAAGTGTGAGTGGAGGAAGGGTAAAATCACTGATCTTTACAAAAAAGCACATGGGGACGATGACTCAGAGAAATCAGCAGTTTACGAATGGATAACTCTTGTTAAGAAGGAACTAGTGATGAAGACAACCGTCACATCAATCTGAGAGGATAAAGTGAATCCTATCCCTGTGCCCTAATTGAATAGGAGCAATAATTAACAGTAGAAGCAACAGCCAACACCACAGACATCTCAATTGGTTCAGCTTACACAATTCTGACTGAAAAATTAAGTTGAGCAAACTTTCCACTTTCCACTGGGTGCCAAAACCATCATACCCAGGTCAGCTGCAGACAAGAGTACAGCCTTCAACAGAAATATTAAACAAGTAGGATCAAGATCCTGAAGCATTTTGTGAAGAATTGTTAATAGGTGATAAAACATGGTTTTACCAACACAATCCTGAAGACCAAGCACAAGCAAATCATGGCTACAGGTAATGAGGTGGAAGTCGTCCAGTCAGAGCAAAGGGGACCCTGGAAGTCGTCCAGTCAGAGCAAAGGGGACCCATCAAGAACAAAGGACATGGCGACCGTTTTGGGAGATGCTCAAGGTATTTGCTTACTGACTTTCAAGAGCCAAAGAATAATAACATCAGCTTATCATGAAAGTGTCTTTAGAAAATTAACCAAAAGGTTTAGCAGAAAAATGCCTGAGAAAACTTTACCAGAATCCTTCACAACTCCTTGCTTCTTCCTCTCTTCAAACAAGGGCAATTTTGCAAGAGTTTAGATGGACAATCACTAGGCGTTCTTACAGTGTGATTCACCTAACAGTCCTGATTTGACTCCTTCTGACTTCTTCTTGTTTCCTGATCTTAAAAAATATTTAAAGGGCGCAGGTTTTTCTTCAGTTAATAATATTATAGAAGAATGCCTTGACACACTTAGATTCTCTGGACCTCCGTTCTGTATGGGTGGACTAAATGCCTGATATTATCACTTACAAAAGTGTCTTAGATTTGATGGAGCTTATGTTGAAAATAAAGTTTGTATTTTTAATTTTTATCTTTTAATTTCATTTTTCCATGAACTTTGTGAAGTTCCATATAGTATGAAATATTCACCTTTAACAAAGCCTTGAATTTGTGCAAGATCCAAAATCTAGAAGTTCTCTTGCTGTACTTAGTTACTGACAATGCTTTATCAAATATACATTCATACGTGTACAATTTCCTATTGTCAAAACATATAAGCAACAGATAATACAGTATAATTAAACTTTGGAAACCATGAAAACTTGGAATGCTTCTCTCTAAATTAGGAGAAGACAAATAATCCAGTCCTTAATGTTAAATCACCTACCACTACAGAAAATTTGAGGGTTCTTTATTGTAATAGCCATAAAATATATGTAAAATACCCTAAGCTGAACTTAAAAAATAGCTGAGAAAAAGTCTAGGTTTAGTTTAAGTGAATTCAGAGGAAAAAATACATATACTTACCTGAAATGTACCAAAATCTAAAATCAGAAGGTTTGACTTTCCATGGTAGAAACCTGTCTGTGGAACTACTAGATAAGAAGGCATCAGATTTATCCTTAAATCAAAGACTTTGCGAGTTTCAATAATATGTGTAAGTCCTAAAGAAGGCAAGGAAACAATGAAAAGATTGCATGATAAAGTTGAAATATGTGATCGTTCTATTAACAACAGCAGTAAGAATTTTGCCTGTAAAGTGTTATGAAGGAGTGTCGGTTTATCTCACAAATGAGATTCTCAATTCCATAAGTAAGGTGAAAACTGCATATGCTCCAAGAGAAACATATCACAGCACAATATAATAAACCCATCATAGCTAGTATTTTATCCAGGGGTAGAGGAATTTATTATTTCCTTGGTAAATTAACCAGATGAAATAGTTGGCCTGAGCTTAGAGGCCACATTATGTAAAAGTACATATCTTAAAAACTAGATTCACACACAGTATTGTGAACAGTTTCTTAAAAAGTGAGATAGAGGGATATTTTCAATCTCAAGCTCATCCTGAGCATAGTTCTTGAAAATCATAGCAGGCATCATCATCTGTACCTCATATTATTCTCTTTCTCACCCAATCTGACAGGTGTATTTGATTTCAAGTAAGCCATGTCCACTCTTTTGTTCTTTACAATAAAGAACAAAAGCAATCTATACTATTTTAAATATAATGTTTATATCAGAACCAACAAAATTTTTGAAGTTTTGCTGATACTTATGTAAATGGTCAATTTTTTTACCTGTAGCTGTTCTCTCTTTAATTTCTTCCAGCTTCATCAATGTAGCTGATGTTATTTGCTCAAGATCCAATCCCTTATTTGATTGAAAGAATTCAACCACTGCATTGATGGTTTTCTGCAAAAGAATTTTAAAATATAGCCAAGTTACATATAGAACCTTCTACATTATAAATTTTAAGGTTGCACTCCAATTCTAAAACAGGTGTGGCTCTGAAATGAGAAATAATAAAGATATTCTGTCCTCGGTAATGCCTGTGGCTCAAAGGAGTAGGGCACCAGCCCCATATGCCGGAGGTGGCTGGTTCAAACCCAACCCCAGCCAAAAATTGCAAAAAAAAAGATATTCTGTCCTGCTGTATCTTTCAATGGAGTAAAAGAGAAATTGTACAAAAAAATGAAACCAAGGAAGGTTACTGGAGAAACAACAAATGTGTGCATATCATTAAAGTGCCAACCACGTCCTCCAGTGTTCATATGGATGGAGCAAAGAGATTACTTCTAGTTTTAGCCTCCAATTAGTCAGAAAATGAAATTCTACCTCTTTACAGTTATTGGATTCCTTTGCGCTTTGAAGTTTAAAGATGAAATAGGAAAACAGCTGTTCATCCCTTATCTACATCCCTTATCTACATCCCTTATCTACATGTAAAACTTGAACTTAAGAAAAAAATCAGAAATCTTCCAAGATGAAAAGAATTCTGAAGATTGGTGTACAGCAATGTGAATGTTCTTAGCACTATTGAACTATATACCTGAAAAGGGTTGAGATGGTAAATTTTGTTTCATGTATTTTACCACGAATACAATAAGTTCTGGAGTCTTTATATACTTCCTTCTACACACACAATGAACCCAGCTCTAAACTGTTAAGTAAAATTAAGTCAAGGATCTCATAAGAGGCTGGGGCCAATCTCTAAGTGATGGGACAAAGAGTGAACTACACCCATCTTGGAAACTAACCTGAGATGAGGGGTAAGACAGCTTGAGTAAAAGGTCAAGGCACAGATACAGAACTTGAAGAATCAGCATTTGCAATAACATATAAATGCTGAATATTTCTTCTCATGTGAATATTTAAATTTCTTTTCATTATTCCTAAAGCTCTTTGAATCAGTTCCAAACACTGGAGACGAAGGAAGGAATTAAAGTAGCAAGGCAGTTTATAACTATTTGGGAGTAGAGTTGGTATAATAAACATGAATTTTTAAAGGTATGTTACATATTTTTAATTTAACATAAGCGCAACCATTACAGCAGAAAACATCTATATCATATTAAAAAATCTCAGCAGCTAATCACATACTGCTTTTGAAACAAGAAAAACTTGTTATGAAATGTAGCTGGTAAGTAAATAAATGTTAAAATGAAAGAGGAGAAATAAAAAAATAAATTCAGAAGCATAAGGTGGTTTTTTGAAAGAACTGCTTTCTCCTTGCACTTACAGCATCGTAGATGACCTCCACAGGCTGAGACTCAACAACCAGAGTCTGGTCAGCAGGACTATTCTCTGGATTGGTTTCAAACTCTATTTTAAGCAAGGATGATGTAGTATCACCAATTGAAGCCACAAGTGATGGTATAATATCTTGCTGTCTCAGACCTGTTATATACCAGTGTTCTAATTTTGCTTCCACCCTACAAATCAACGAAGAAAAAGGAAGTGATATAAATTATACTCTTTGTAACATAAGAGGTTAAAAGGTAAATTTCCCTTGACAAGCCTTTGAGAACCAGGATTACCCAGAGCCAAAGTTCAATCTCCTTAACCTGGCCTTTTATTACCAACACAATCTAGTTTGTTGCTGCTGTTGTTTCTGATTCCTCTTTATCCAGATAAAAAACCCATTTCACTCAACTCAAGAATACTGCAAACGTTCTGATTACTGTTCATAAATAAAGCTCATGCAACATGGATGAACTCCTCTCCCTATCTCCATGCCGCCCCCAACATGCTCCCACCTTGTCCCTGCTTCTAGTCCTTCCCATTCAGCTGAGAATTCTCTTCCACCACTGAGGTCGTGTAGCATCAACTACGAGGTATTTAGTTTCACAATACTTTACTAACTTTTTGTATATCCTCGAATCAACAATAGTACAAACTTTTTGAACACAGAGAACTTACTGTCCCTATCCAAATCTTTCACACTATTTAGCCTATAAACTGAAACAGTTTCCAACAATTATTTGTGAAGGAAAGGAGGGAATGTGGAACAAATGATGAAGTTCCCAAATATATAACACAACAAAAACAAAGATAAAAAGACTATCTTGGTACACACAGGAAAATAAATTAAAGAAAAACTACTACTTACGAATTTTTTTAATATTAAGACACCATTTTTGTCCTAAAATCATAACTAGAAATAAAAATTGAAATAACAAGCTTTTAAAAACTTACTTAAGTGCTTGTGCTCCTGGTCGCTGAGATACTTGAGTGCCCAGGCCAATTATCTGAATTTTCAGTATTTCTGGAATATTTTTGTCTTCTCTGATTGTAATAGAAGTGCTTACTAACTTCAGGGTCATTATATGGGCGACATACTATATAGAAGGAATGAATGGAAAGTTTTAAAGCTTAAATAATTACCTTTTTGATTTTTTATATTTAAATTTGTTGAATGATAACATGATCTAAACAACATGGCCTGGTACATGCCAGCACCCATATGCTCACTACAAATGACAAACATAAAAATTCAGTATAGAATTGCCTGCTCAAATAGGACACTGACAGAAGATTAAAAAGTCATTTCTCTTAGCTGTACAGGTCATAATAATGAAACAATGACAAAACATTTGGGGACATAAAAATTCAATTCGCAGCTTTCACTAAAGCAAAGCAAGTATTTGAGACCAATGCTCTGGCTAAGGAAAAGGAAAACCATAGAGAACACCTGCTTGACGGTTTAACAGAGTTAATGAGATACTGAAGAAAAGATCCTAACCCAAAACTGGCTGGGTGAAGACTGGGAGTGGGACAGAGAACCTGGGAGATATGTTTCTCCTACAGGAATTTGGAGATTTAGGAGAGGGGAGCCCACAGGCTATGAGGCTAGTAAGAAACTAGAAACCAGGTCCCACTAAAGGGTAACAGCACTAATACAACACCCTCGCCTTTGGTTGGGAAAGGCTATATCCTAGAAGAGGTAAACTGGAAATACAGACTCCCATGATCCACAGCAAAGTATCAAATCATCACAATCCCTAAAATAAGAATGAACAGACTCCAAGTGCTGGTGGCTATGTACACTAGGAAAAAACAAATAGAACATCTCCTCTGGAGGAAGATATTAATTCCCACATTCCTAAAAATATATATATTCTATCATTTTCAAATCCAATGTCCAGTATGCGTGCGCATATACATACACACCCGCATTTTTTAGATTTCAGATTAATATGAGGGTACAAAGGATTAGCTTACAATGTTTACATTTGTTGCAGAAGGCCCCTGTTATAGTTGTGCCCCTCCCCCAGGAGGCACACACACACACATAATCCCTCTCAAACAAACAGGCTCACGGGATTCAAGATAAGATGAAACAAAACCCAGAAGAAACAACAGAAAACAGAAACAGATTCACACAGGCTTCAGACATCAAGTTTTAGACTTACTCAGACTACTGTGCTTATTAAGCTCAAAGGCATAAAAAGAAGGTAAAACTGAATGTATTAGCAAACAATTTGGAAAATAAAAAGCAAAGAAAGACCTAACTGAAAACTCAATAGCTAAACCCAGAAGAAAAAAAATCATTTTAGCGTAAGGAAATTTGCACTAGGTTTCACAGTTCAATTTAAAATTACCAAAACATGGAAATAACCTAAATGCCCAACTGCCTAGGAATGGATTAACAAGCTGTGGTATTTATACCATGAAATACCATTTAGCCATGAAAAAGATGGAGAGTTGGCATCTTTTTGTATTAACCTGGATAGAGCTGAGAAACATTTGTCTTAGTAAAGTAGCATAAGAATAGAAAAACAATTATCCAATGTACTCAATATAACATGAAGCCAGTAGACAATCTAATACACACCCACATAAGAAAAAAAAATAAATCAATTCAAGGTGGGGGGCAGGGTAACGAGGGAGCGGGAAATGGTGTGCTCCTACTCAATGGGCACAATGTTAGATAAGAGGGACTCTACCTAACAAATGCAAACACTGGAACCTAATTCTTTGTACCCTCAAATTAACCTAAAACAATAAAGAAAGAAAATTCAAGAGCTAAAACTACAAAAACAAATTAAAAATTCAATGAGTAAGTTTAATACTAAAATAGAAAGCGGTAAACAGAGAATTAGAGGAAACTATATAAATGAAGAATGAATACATAAAGAACTTGAAAATATAAAAGATCCAACTATATACATTAGCTGGCCCCAAAAAAGAAGCAGAAGAGAATGATACAACAGAAATAAAATTTGAAGTGATCATTTTCCCAAATTGATGAGACCTCTAATTACCATTCTCTCCAAAATAATTTACAAATTCAATACAGGTAGTCTCTAAAAAAACTACAGCATGTACTTTTGAAAATACTGATAAGGTAATTCTAAAGATTACCTAAGATTACCGTAATCTAAAGATACACGTAAGTGCAAAGGGTATAAAAATAGCTAAAATATTCCTTAAAAAAGAAAACAAGTTCAAGGTCATATTTCAAAACTTACAGAACTATAGTAATCAAGATGGGGACCATTAGTGTAAGGACAGACAAAGTTCAATAGTTCAATGGAACCAACTCTAAAAATAAACTCACACATACAGCCGAAAATTATTTTCAACCAAGGAGCCAACTCAATATAACAGGAAAAAAACAAAAGTCTTTTACAAATACTGTTCAAACCAATGGATGTACAAAAGGTGGGGCAGGGGGGAAGCCTTGACTCCTATGAACCTCCAAGCACAGAAATTAATTTAAGATGAATATTAGACTAAATATAAAAACCCAGAACACCATGAAGTTTCTAGAAAAAAAGAAAACAGAGAATATCTTTCTGACTACAAAATAGGCAAAGATTTCTTGAACAGAGCTAATATTAATACTAACCATAAAAAAGACAGAACATCAGATTTAAATTAAATTTTTCTCTCATAAACAACAATTACTTTGTAAACAGGCAAGCCACAGACTGAGACAGACATCCATGTACATTTGACAAAAGACTTGTATGCAAATATATAAAGAACTCCCATAAACAACAAGAAAGGACAAACCCTATTTTATTTTATTATTCATTATTTTTTTAAACCGATGTCTATTTTCCATCAGCCTTATTTCCATCTTGTTGAAGAGCTTGTGGAAGAACAGCTGAGGACCACTCAGTGGTTGTTCCCACCCATTCAGTGGCCTGAGCAGTGGGAGCTGCAGACCAGTCTCTGTGGCAGGCTGGGTGCTCCAGTCTTCAGTGGGGACCTGCAGCCTTCAGACCAGTCTGCAGCCTCAGGCTGAGAACAGTAAACTCAGGAGCTAGAGCAGTCCATTCACCCTGAAATTCCTCCATGGTCACAGCTTTCTCAGCAGCAGCCGCTCTTCCTTTCAATCTCTTCAGGATCTCAGTAGAAGCAGAGATCAAGCATGACCTCCCACTGGTGTTCACGGGACATGGTGCCACACATGTGGAGAACTTCCCAAGCCAACATCCACCACATTAGACCTCCTGAGTGAGAGCCTTCGTTGTTGCATGGGATGGCGATGTCCACATAATGCAGAGAGAATCTGAGTTACACAGAGAAATGGTAGGCAGGTTAACATACAACACCTCTGTGAGAGGCTGGTGGTCAGCTCTGGGATCAGTAACCACTTGAAGACAAGGCTCCCGGGCTGCCTGAATCTGGTTAGTGAAGGTTCCAGGAATGAAGCAGTCAGCAATAGGAGTGGCTCCAGTGGCAGGAGCAAACTTCAGCACAGCTAGCTGGCCAGTATTCCTGGAGGATATGACACTGACATCAACAGGGTTTCAATGGCAACAACAGCATGAGCTGCCAACAGAAACTTCTCCCAGGTCCTCTTCAGATTTATGATGTAGAAGCCATCACTTTTCCTTTTGTAGATGTACATCTGTTCCATCTGGAAGTCAAAGTTGGTACCACCTAAGTGGGTTACTGCTGCAAGGAATTTGAGGACATCCTCCTCCTTCATGTGCAGGACATCAAGGGCTCCAGACCTTGTGAAAGTTTCCCTTTAAGTTACAATGGGAATCCAGGACAATGCCATGTGGACCCTTCCCTGGGTAGCATGGAAAGGCACAAGCCAATTTTAAAATGGGCAAAAACACTTTAATACATACTTTGTGAATGAACATTATAGAGATGGACAAAAAGACATGAAAAGATGCTCAGTATCATCAGCCGTCAGCAAAATGTAAATTACAACCATAGTAGAATAATATCATATCCACTGAAACAGCTAAAATTAGAGAGCCTGACAATATCAAATACGAAAACAATGTGAAATAACTGGAATTAGTGAAAATATAAAATATTACAACCATCTGGAAGAACTATTTGCCGGGTTTTTTTAAAGGTTATACGTAGTACATACATCTACCTTATCTATACTATCTCAAGCAAAAGAAGAAAGAAAAAAAATGCATAAATAGGAAAAAGTAATCTATGGCAACAGAGTCATAAAGTAGTTGCTTTTGTCAGGCAGGAGAGGAAAAGTCACTGGAAAAGGTCACAAGGGAACTTTTTGACAGGATGGAAATGTTTCCTATCTTGTTTTGGATGGTCATTATATAGGTGTATTCAACTGTCTAAATGCATCAGAATGAACCTTACAGTCTATGAACTTCATTGTATATAAATTTTATCTCAAGAAAATCTTAAAGACATCACTCATAACAAAACCAAGAAAAGACATTCAATTTCTACAAAGAAAACTACAAAACATTATCAAGGAAATAAAAAAGAGATAAATAGAGAGGCACGTACTATATGAACAGATAAGATTCAATACGGTAAGATACCAATTTTCCAAAATTAATTTACAGATTCAATAAAATAAAAATCTCAGTTTTCTGTAGAAATTGATTGGCAGATTCTAAAATTTATATGGCAACTTAAAGGGCCAAGAATAGATAAGGCAATCTTAAAGACCAGAGCTGAAGGATTTGTAGAGCTAGGTTGCAGCACGGATTACTAAGGTATAGTCTAGTGGTTCTCAACCTTCCTAATGCCACAACCCTTTAATACAGTTCCTTATGTTGTGGCGACCCCAACCATAAAATTATTTTCGTTCCTACTTTATAACTGTAATTTTGCTACTCTTATGAATCGTAATGTAAATATCTGATATGCAGGATGTATTTAGGCGACCCCTATGAAAGGGGGTCTCAACCCACAGGTTGGGCACCACTGGTATAGTCACTAAGACAGCACACTACAAAAACAGACAAATGGCCAACGTAGTAGAATGCGGATTCAACAGGAATATGAAGAACTGACTGATAAAGGGGTAAAAGGAGAGCAGCAAGAATGAACGGTCACTTTCATGATGGGTGCTGTGTCAAATAGACAGCCATGTAGACAAATCCAAATCTTAACCTCACTTCACACCATCCACAAAATCAATTCTAGATGAACCATAAATCTAAATATATAAAGTAAAGTAACATAAAGCTTCCAGAAAAATAGTTCCACAATCTTCAAGTGAGGAGAAACTTGTTAAACAGGACACACAAAAAAAGCACTAACCATAAAGGAAAAGATTAATAAATAAAAATTAAAAATAAGACTATCTACCCATTGAAAGACACCATGAAGAGAGTGAAAATGCACTTCACATGATGGGAGAAAATATTTGCATATTTAACATTAATTAAAAACAAAATTAACATAACAAAACAAAATTTAACATAATTAAAAACAAAAAGCCAAACCAGACTGTGGGGGAAGATGATAACAATATGTCCAACTAGCGAGGGCCTCATTGCCAAAATATATAAAGAATGCCTACAAACCAATAAGAAAAAGACAGACAACCTCACAATAGAGAAAAGGCTCAAAAGCCACTTCACAAAATAAAGTATCTAAAAGCTAAAAAATATGTAAGTATAGAACCTCCTTAGTCACCCAGGAAATGAAAATTAAAGCCATAACGAAACATGACTATATATCCCCATCTTGAATGGCTACAACTTAAAAGATTGCTAATGACTACCATCAGTGAAGATATGTCACAGTAAGAATCCTCCTACTCCTGCTGGAAATGTTCTCCACCTTGGACACTGCTTAGTAGAATCTAATATTAAATGAACTCATATCGTGAGACCCAGGAATTCTACTCCCAAGAAGCTAAACAAAAAATCTTACGTATACATACTAAAAGACATTTAGAAGAAGTTCAGAGCACACTATTCATTATAATCAAAAAATAGAAAGAACCCAAATGTTCATCAACAAAAGCAAAAATAAATAAGATGTGGTTATTTTCAAGTAACTGCATTCTATACAGCAATGAAAATAAGCAAAACACATACACATCTACTGCACCAGAGATAAATCTCACCAACAACTAAGCTAGATACACAAAATACATATTTTATGAGTTTATTTACAGAAAATAATGCAAAATAAAATCATAGTGTTTGTAGCAAAAAACAAAATGAAATCAAAGACGTGATTCCCACAAAAATCAGAATAATGCTTACCTTTGGAGAAGCAATAATGGGGGGGTGTAGGGGCTTCTATACTGGAGGCAATATTCTAAATCTTGACCTTAATAATAGTTATATACCTGTTCCTTTTTGATCAAATGAGCAATACATTTACTTTCTGCTCATGCTTTTACACATGAGTTATATTTCACAATTTTAAAAATATGATTTTAAGTTGAATTTTTAAAAGATTTTATCTTGACACTGTAATAAGTACTTTTTATCAGGTTATTCTTACATTCACTAAACAACCAAAGGGAGAACTTTAACTGGTCAAGCCTGACTAGAAGTATTCAACAATTAAAGTAAAACTAATAATATATTTTTGTAATTTAAAAAATCAATAACTTTAACCCAACTCAATTTAATACAACAAAATGAGACAAAAATACCTGTTGAACCATGTCATCATTACCTGTTTGGGCAAAGTCAGGTTGTGGGTACTCTCACTATAACCAATGGCAGTGAAGAGCTTATCTTTTTCCTCTGGAGTCATAAGGTCGTCAATAGCTACAAAGGAAAGATAACATTTGAAAAAAGATTCAGTTTCACAGATACAATTGCAAAGTCAAACCAAAGTAACATAGGTCCTAAAATCAACAGGGAGAAATGGTAAAGCTGAATTCAGCTGGTAATTTTCTCCAAAATCCTACTGCTTTGACTAGTTAAACAAACATCCTACAATGGCTTATTTAGGTCAAGGAAAACCAAAGTGATACCATTAAGGAAATTCAGTTCTCATATAGGATTTCAGAATTCTCTAAGTATTTTAAAATTTAAGTGAGACTTGGAATTAATAATAAAAAATGCTAAATGTTGAGAGCTCTAAATTTAAACATTTTTAATTTGACATAATTTTTCCCAAAAAACTCAAAATTTTATTTTAAATAATCACAGGAATGTTCCAACCTCATGTATTATATGTTTATTACTCTGAAATAATTTTATTTTAAATGTATCTTAAAACAAAATTCAACAGGTATGATATAATTTTTTATTATTATTAAATGATAGCTGTGTAAGTTAATGCAACCATGGGGTACAGTGTGGTGTTTTCATATACAATTCAAAATATTTTCATCAAACTGGTTAACACAGCCTTCATATGATATAAATCTTTCTTATCAGTGTATAATACATTATTTGACTTGGAACTTACTTTCAGGAATCAATGATTCTTCATCATCTTTTTTCTTAGATTCCTTTTTACCCCAGAACCCACTAAACCAGCCTCCACGTTTCTCGCCTTTGTCAGCAGACTTTTTCCTCAATTTCTGCCCAGACCGAATCACCTAAAAAATAAAAATTAACAAATTTAATTGGGGAATAATGCCCTCTTCATTTTCAGGTATGGGCAGGTAAGAACAATGGTTAACTTTTTAAAACATCCCCTGAGATTGAGCCAATCTTAAATGATGCTCACAACATGGTTTGGTTAATGTAGCCCCCCAGCTGTTTACTTGCTGCACCAACTGATAGCATTTTGATGAGGCTGCATTTTGTCAGCAATGTAGTTACATCAAGTAAAATTTTTCTGAGCAATAAGACTTCCAAATTTTTATGTTAAGGAGCCACTAGACCTGCAGATTTATAAAGTGTATAGTTCCCTGAAAGGGAACACACACCCCAAAAATATTAGTTTAAAACAATCATATTTCAGAGTTAATACATATTGCTGGCTTGCTAACTATGAACATGGCAGGGGAAGGGGGTGTAAATAAAAATACATAGTCCTCAAATCTCATTTCTATTGTTCCTCTCTTTGCCTACTTTTCAGTAAAGCATAGATGAATAACCAAAAAGCAGAAAACAGAAAGATAAAACATTTGTGTATAATAGAAAGTGAAGTAATCCAAAAAAGGAAGTTAAATGAAGACAACTGAATCCTGTAGTAAAGAAAATAGGTCTGATTAGAGAAAGTAAAGATTAACCCAGAAGAAAGTGTTAAAATTTCGTCCCAAGCCACAGGTGAGTGCATACATTCAAGCCCTATTTGAATTTGCAAATCAAAGTGCATTGTGGTTCAAGCTCCTTGCTATATGTAAGAATCAGCTAGAAGCTTTAAAAACAAAATTGCCAGTGCCAAAGCGCCACTACACAGCAATTAAATTAAATCTTGAGAGTGGGTTCCAGACATCAGTGTATTTTTCTAAATCCCCTGGTAATTCTAGCATGCCACCAGAGTTCTAAACCACTGAGATGACAATAAGTTTCCTTCAACAATAGCAGAGATGATCAGGCAGGGAGTTTAACTGCCTCAAGAGTTTTCCAAATAGATGAAACTGAGCTATTGTGGAAATGACACCAAACTACAGAATCTCCTAGCAATTCTTTGGAGGAAAATGCAACCAGAGATTGTAAGTTCAAACCTCTCTTCAACACTTGGACTTAATAAACAGTTGGATTTACAATAGTTATTTATAAATCCAAATGCAGGAAAAACTGTAAAGCATTTGAATACTTTATTAAATACTTCTAAGTAAACTAATAGTTGTAAAAGGGCAGGCACCAAATTGGTTTTTCAGCTGTTACCATATTTTAGTCCCCATAAAAAATTTACTGTATGATGACAGATAATATTTTTAAATTTTGAGGGAAATCTATATATTGTAAAAATATGAAATATCTGAAGTTAACTATTAAGGTATTTTAAAAATATGTATGTTGATAAGAGACATCAAGATAATGTAATGACAAACTCCAACTCTCTAAAGCCCCATGATCTCCCACTCCTAATATTCTTGCCCCTGGTTAGTGCTCGGCCTGGAGTATGGACATGACCTGAAACTTGATTATTACCAATAAAATATAGCAAAGGAGATAAGATGTATGTCATCTACCAACAGCATGTACTTTACTTTGTGCCTAAGACCGTAGCAGCTGTCTTGCTGGAGTCTCCCTCTCCCTATGAACAAGAAAGCTGCTATGCTGTGGCCTATGTTGGAAGGGCCCATTGACGAGGAACTGACAGTGATACTTATGAGTAGCCTCTAGCCAGCACCCAACCAAGAACTAAAGCCATGTTCCATTCCAAAGCCACAAAGAAATAAATTCTGCCAAGGAAAGTGGATCCCCCATCACATATACTTCAGATGATACCACAGCCCCCAGCAAGTATGTTGCATATTTAGAGTCCTACAATAGAGGATTCAGCTGAGACATTCCTAGATTCCTGAACTATAGAAACTTGAAAATACTATGAAAACTGTGTGTTGTTTTTAATCATAGAAAACCCCTGCCCCTGGCTCCTAGCTCTGCCCAGTGAAGAAGCAGCACAGAGGCACATGCAGCACAGTTGTACAGCAGCTGAAACCTGAGAGCAACACTGTATTTCTGGTCAAGGAAGCAGCAAATGGAGTTCAGGAAAGCCAGAGTGTATATGGGGAAATCCCACAGGGGGAAAGAGTGACAAAAGAGAATAGCTTTTAATTCTGTACAGAACCTATCCAAATTATCAGTCTAACCCATGCTTCACATAGTATAGAAAACTGACCCACATCATAGTAGTGAAGGTTTAGAGAGAAACGAACCATCTACACGAGTCTCAAACTGAAATCTGGGCCACTCATGAACAAAATAGACCCAAACCTATATATGGAAGGGTTAGAGAGCTGACTTGAGATTTGAACCACCATCCACAGAAGGCAAAACACAACTTAAGATCAAAATCTAAGCAGGTGGTATGCCAACACAAAATAACATTTTCCAGAGACCACATAATATAATAATTACAATGTCAAAAATACAATCCAAAACTTTTTGACATATAAAAACAAACAAACAAAAACCAGGAAAATACGACAAATTCTTTAAGGAAAGATAATTAACACATGTCAATGGTCACAGAGCCTAGATGTTGGAACTACCATAGAGTCACTGCAAGTAACTCTATTACCTGAGGTAGAGGGAAATTAGTGAAAAGATTGAAATTTTCAGAAGAGAAATTTAAACTATAAAAAATAGCTCAAAAGTTGGGAACTGAAAAATAGAGTATTTGAAATTGAAAACTCCCAGGATGGGCTCAACAGAAAAATGGAATGACCAAAAAAAAAAAAAAAAA